TTTTTTTTTCTGCTCGCCCGATCTCAAGATCTTCAATGTAATGTACACATCCGGGAAAGTGAGTCAGAGCTTGCCTCGTGTGGGCAATCTCACTGATCACGATGGATAGGTGGAAAAAACATGCTTAGACGCTTTTTCCACAACGTGCAGGACTCACACTGCATAAGAAAACATGGTCCGCATTACGTAGTGCACATGCCCCGACCATATGTGGAAAATGCTAACGAAGCACTGTCCGCTTCGCTGTCTTTGTGTTTCGAATGCACTGCGTGCACAGGAAATGGACAGCGGTCCACTGGTGTGCGACTGCGGCAGACCTTTCATGTCCTTACGGACTTTAAACTCGCATCGTGCGAGGGCATGTCCGGCCGTGGTGGAAGAGGGGGCGCAAAGGCAGGAGAACAATGCTGCCCACGACCCGGGGCCATCCGACATGGGCGCAGCGAATCTCGCAGCTGATGACAACGACGAGGCGGGGGCAGAGGACAACGTGAACGGGGCAGCGGGTGACAACGCAGAGCCAGAAGCGCAACCCGTCGAGTTTTTTGATAGCTCGCGTAGGCTAGCAACGCTTATTTTGTCCGCACGTGGCATCGTCGGTATGTCGCATTGCGACGTTGATGCTCTCTTATCACTTCTCAAAGACCCGAGGTTCAGCGCGGCGGATATTGTGTACCGCACCAGTCGAGAGTGCTTCGCATGGGCGGGCAGTCTCGCAGAGGCCGCCGGGTGGAAGGAGTCGGACCTGCGTAGTGACGACTGGCCTGAAGGAGCGCACGCCATCTTGTGGCACCGCGATTGGCGAACCTCATTCTTGTCGATAATGCAGGTCGCGTTGCAGAAATGCGAGACGGTTCATTCCCTTGAAGTGTCCCCGCCGTCGGACGACCACAGTGTGTCCGGTCCGCGCAGTGGGGCGCTAAGCTATCACACGCAGTCAACCATTCGAGCGCACAAAGGTGTCGACGAGAATGGAAATCCACGATATGTGATCCCTCTCTCACTCTACTCCGACAAGACACACACAGACGGTCGTCAGAAACAGACCGCATACCCTCTTATGATGTCGCTAGCCGACCACGCGTCGGAAGCCACTCTGCTGGCCTATCTCCCCGTGCCTCATCATCGACCCCGTGACAAAGGATGGGATCTTCAGTCCAACGCATTTAGGAAGCGAAAGGCCGTCATCTTCCACAAGGCCCTTTCGATGGTCTTGCAAGCTGTGAAGGAGGCGTCGCACGACGGCATCACGATACCATCGACGCGATTCGGGGACATGACTGTCCACTCTTTCCTCCTCAACTATATACAGGACTATCCAGAACGATGTGCGCTGGCGAATGTGAAGTTTGGTGTATGCCCCACATGCACCGTGTCGAAAACGGACCTCGATGTTGTGGCCGATTTCACGGACTGCAGGAGATCCCAGACGCTGGAAACCCAACTCGCAGAAGCCCTATTCAGGGCGGACGACGATGACGTGCGCCGCGAAGCTGGAGGGCGAATGGCAGAGTTGGACATGCATAGGCATGTTGAACAGAACGGCCTTTGGGGGTTCTACAGGGGGCCGAGCGGCGATGATCCTCATCTAGACTACCACCTCATATTGCAACCAGACCGTATGCACACGATCGAACATGGCATATTCCTGCACATGGTCGACGCATTCAGGGCGGTAGCCTTTGAGAAGTTGCCGCACACACTGCAAACTGAGATCCTGAAGGAACTCGATGCGAGATTGCAATGCGTTAGTGAGAGATGTACGCGAACATATCCCCAACTTGTGCTGCCCGTGGCCACAGGCAACGATTTTTTTTCTAGAGAGGGACGCTTCGAGGCGAAGAAGAATCGGTCTGTGATGACAATGTGCATGTTCCTCATTTTTAATATAATCCCGCGCTCGACAGACAAGGGCATTACCGCCTGTTTCGTCAAGCTGATGCAAATGTACGTACGTTTGTTTCGGCGCACAACGAACACTCAAGCTTCCCTCGACGAATGCGACGCGTTGATGACGGACTTCGTAACGACCATCAAAGCGAAACTGGGAAGATACAAACCATCGAATTGGAAACTCCCTAAGTTGCATGATCTTATGCACAGAGCGAGTATCGAGCGATCTGGTGTGACCGACACATTCGCTGCAGACGCAACCACGTGCGCCAGTCGCTGGCGTTGCAGGAGGAGACCGGAATTGTAAGGAAAAGAAGGAAAAGGGCCGTTGAGAATAGGTCTTCTGTGACGGACTGTATGGCAACGGGGTTGAACACCCTGGCACTACGCGACACGTCAATCCTTCAACTGCACTGGTTCAACATCGATCAAGACCAGATACGCAAGGTGGAAGGCGTTGACAGTCGTGCGTGTCAAATACTCGAAAAGCTCCCTTTCATAACCAATTTTCGAGCAGCGATTACGGCGTACATGGCGGAGAATGGTTGTCAACCTCCTACCGATGATCTCGCTATACACACGCGAACACATCTCGCCATTGCTTGCACGCAGGATGGAACAAACAGAGGCACACTTGTTCAAACTACACGAGCGTCGCCGCGGTTCCACGGGAGACTTGTGCACAGCGACGTCGCAATAAGAGCAGCCAACGAATGTACGTGGTTCGCATCAGTGGCCATGTTTTTCGTCGTCCATGCACCCACAGACGGCGGCAATGTGGAACACAAGTGCGCTTTTGTGCAGTGGTACAAAGAGGTTGACAGTGAACGGGAACACGTGACAGGTTGCAAGGAATTGAAATGGGAGAATGCGAATGGACATCAGCACAGCAGTGTCGTTTCGACCGACACCATCGTGGACACCGTTCACATTATTCCGCGCTTCTGTAAACCACAATGGGGATCGAAAATGCATGCGCGCCACCGTGAGGACTGTTTTTTTTAAACAATTACATATTGTAGAAGGAATAAATTTGAAGTTTGTGTGAGTGTGTGTGTGTGTGTGTGAGAGAGAGAGAGAGAGAGAGAGAGAGAGAGAGAGAGAGAGAGAGAGAGAGAGAGAGAGAGAGAGAGAG